CCAGAAGTTCCTACAGCCGGTGCACCACCCAGCTCACCTGCCACAGGCTTGGCCTGCAGACTGCCTCCCGTGCGGCCCTTGGCACAGCCGGGCACTAGCAGGCTGCAGGCTCTGCCCCCCCAGGTTCACGCCAGAGCTTTCTCGCCATCCCCCTGCTGCAGATGGGCCTCTCCCCTTGCCCGCACGCTCTCCTTGCACTAGCCTGTCAGGAACACACCTCCTCAATCTTCCCCCTTGAGTACGTGTTGCAAATTCTGAGCAGGAATGAGTGAGGGTCAAGAGGTGAGGATGGATGAGAGAGGCATCGTCACTACTTGGTGGCACACTGGCTGGAGGGAGGTAAAGAGTGGGGGAGCCTAAAGCCATGCCCAGGGTTCTGGCCCAGACAACAAATCAGATGAGGAGCACCTGCTGAGGCAGGGACCTAGGATGGGGCACAGGGGGAGCGAGTGTGGGAGACATTGAGCTCAATGTTGAACACCGTGAGTTGGAAGCGCCTGTGGTGTGTCAGGTGGACCATCCAGGGGCAATCGGACATGCAAGTCCGTCACTCGGGAGATAAGTGTCTGCCCCGGGCCCTGATTTGGCAGAGAGTATGCAAAGCTGAGCCACTGGCTGTGTGTGAGACGGACACACAAGAAGCTAAATGTGGAAGCCCAAGTGGGGTTCGTGTGACATTGAACTCCTGACATCTACTTCTTGAGATCCAAAACCTCTGCACGTCATTTCTTTCGCTTGATCTTTCGGAGGTGCCCGAGACAGAACTGGCCCTCCTACTGTCGAGGTTCACAGTGAGGATTCCAAAGCATAAGGGATATAAAAAGCTGCTTTGAATCCAAGATGCAGGGGGCACCTGGGTGGATCAGTTGCTTAAGCATCTTCCTTCAACTCAGGTCATGGTCCCCAGGTCCTGGGATTGAGTCCTGCATCGGGCTCCCTGCTCAGCCGGGCGTCTGCTTCTCCAGCCCCTGCTCCCCTTGCTCATGCTCGCTCTCTCTCACTCTCTCCCTGTCAAATAAATAAAATCTTAAAAAAAAAAAAAAAAGACCAAAAGGCATGTTCCAGGATTGATCGTTGTTATGATTACCATCCTCCTCCTCTTGTCCCAAACCTTTATACCTCCTGCCCCCCACAGGCTGAAAGCAGCCCAGGTCCTCTGGCCTCACTTCAAATCTGTCCCTGTAGCCTCATCTCCCAGCCTCACCTTTCCCAAACCAGCCTGACCAGTCCATGCTCTGTGTCTGTGCTTCTTCCCCACTCCTAGGGCAGATACCCTGAAGGGGCCACGTTGCAAGACTGGCATTGGTTTTTCGAGAGAATCAGGTATTTTGAATGCAGCTATACAACATGAGATACATTTCCCTCCTATCTATTATGTGCTAGGGGCTGACACTTGAAAGGATATTTGGACCAACCAGCCAGCAGCCTGATTTCCATGGCCCCTGACTCACTGTGGAGTACCAGCCTACTCCCAACTCAGACCCCACTTGGCATTGTCCCTCCTCAACACGCATCCCTGGCTCTCTGGTCTCAGGTTCACTTGCCCAGTAAATGGCAGCTGCAGCCACTCCCCCTGGGAACACAGTTGCAGGTGTTCAAGGAGAAAAATATCTCTGGCCCAACTGAGGCCCTGGGCATCGCCTCAGGGGATAGCACTGGACATGCTTGGTGCCAACTGCGTTCACCAATGATTCACGAACAGGCAGGAATTAAAGTTCTTCTCTCCCCGCCGGGAAAGGTCACTTTGCCTAATTTCTTTCTTTCATGGTTGAGCCATTGCACTGACACATTTATTTTTGCTGCCTCCTGGCTTGATCATTTTTTAATTACAGTTTGTCCCTCCAATTCTAGCAGAGGGCTAATGTGGGTCTCCTCCCAATCATAGATCCACATTAGTGAAACCCTAACTAGGCATTTCCTTTAGCTGCCTTCATAGATTACTTGGTGCGAGACGTCTGCAGACATAAGCCTAGTCTGAGCTAAAATCCTGTCTAGATGCAGAATCAGGAGCTAACTGAGCAAGCTCCCCAGCATTCCTGCCTGTGTCTTAGCTCAGACTGCTCCCCGCTCCCAGAAGGCCCTCCCTTTTGGCCTTGGGGAATATAAATCTTGCCATCTTTTATGAACCATATTAAAATGAGATTAAAATGTATCCCCTTTCAAATTGCCAGGATTATGTATTTTATTAATACTCAATGTGGTAAAGAGTACAACTCATGAGCACTCTTACAGTCTGTGGGCAGGAGAAGAAATAGGCACAAACTTTTGCAGAAAAAAAAAAAATTGACAATGTGAGTCAGGAGCCTTCACAATACCTTCAACCTTTGACCCTGGAAGTAATTCTACTTCCATGAATTTTTCCCAAGGATATCATCAGAAATGCGGATAAACATTTATGCATAAAGAAATACAGCATTATGTTACAGCATCTTTTATGTTGCTGGTACATAATTAATACCTGATAATAAGGGAATATTTAAATATAGTTTAGGATATCCATACGATACAGCCATCTAAACTGGAGCTGGTAAAGGCATTTTAATGCTGACATTAAGTGAAACCAGCAAACTTTCAAATTGTGTACACAGTGTGATCCAAATTGACCTTCCCTCACTGTTGTTTCACAGGATGCTTATAGGAATGCTATAAATAGAAAAGTTCCATTTTCCAACAAGGTTGGAAAGTTATTATAGCCATATACTTTGAGGCTGCTGGAAGCCTTGGATATGCAAATGAAATGGGAAATCCAAAAAAAAAAAAACAAAAACTAGTCTCAGTATGCAGGATCACTCTTTTTATGCAGGGGATCCTGGGGGCTGCTGTTCATGAAGCACATTTCAGAAAACCTGGGGGAACACCTAGGAAAAGATTGCCATATTGAGAGGGGTTGCAGCTACTGTTAGTTATGGAATTATTTTACTTCTTCCTTGGAATTTTTTTGTATCGCCCTACAAAAATGCTGTAAGCATTGTGAAAAAGAAGTGAGTCAGAAGATCATTCTCCATCCAGTGTCAGCTGGTGTGGGGGGCCACAGAGTCAGCGAGCACACGGGTTCAACATGGCAGTCATGGCTGAGAGGAGGGTGGTATGGAGGCCAGGACAGGGGAGCCACCCAAATGCCGCCTCATTGATTCTCATGCTCTACCTACATTTCAAAGGGCATAGGATGCAGTCAGGGTCACGGCGCTGCCACCTGCTCCCACCCCATCCTGGGACTGACCAGAGATTTCTCCATGCCACAGAGAACATCCCCAGGATGTGAGCCATATTCCAGATTCTGGAATATGCTGTCTGCCTATTCTTGTTTGCAGACTTCAAGTTCGAGGTGCATTGGATGGACTTGCTTGGATTAGATGCCTCCTCCTCAGTTTCCCACTCTTCTAACACCCCTCGGCTCTGTCTGCAGGTCTTCCTCTGTACCGCTCACACACCACTGGGTCAGCCCAAGAGCCGCCCCCAGCCCAGTACCTGGTCTCAGGCATGGAGCCAGAGGGGTGTAAACTTGGTTAGGATCTTCGTAGCAGGTACCGAGCTGTACATACAGTGGGCTGTAACAGGATTTTGGAAGTACTTGCTTGGACACCTCCTGATTACCTTCCAAGGGCCCCTAAAATATTCATCAGGCTTTATCAGGCTAATGGGCTTCAAAAGGAGTAATTTTCTGAGATATGAGACAGGACAATATAAAAAGAACATTAAGGAAAAAATTCCTATTCCAAAATGAAAGGGAAAAGATCATTTAGCATCCCTGTTGGTGTTATCTATTCATGAGCAACAGCACATTTAATCCAGAATGGGATGTAGGGAGGGCGTCAAAGCCCTCACGTAGGGGTCACCTTCATGCCAAACTCATCTGTCTCCATTGCCACAGATGGCGGGGGCAATGGAGATGAGGGTGCAGATGAGAAACATTTCACAGGTGGCCTCCACAGGGGGATTTGAGAGAGAAGGCATGTGGAGGAGAGGTTCAAACATGATTCCCAAGGCACTGGCTTAGGGGATCAGAGAGAAGGGGTACCATTCTCCAGCTTGGCCACCTTCCTGTCTCCCTTCCCAAGGTTCACTAGTCTTGGTTTCTATTTTGGACCATGCTGTGGGAGTTCAGCTCCTTGAGGTCAAGAATTATAATTCCATCCTAGCCCTCAGTGTCTCTGCTCATCCATTAAAGTTGGTTACCAGCCCAAAGACCATACATCTTGGGCACAAAAGTTGTGAGAGGCTGTAAGTATAAGAGTGCTTTGTACCTGTCCGGGCCAGAAGGACCATGTGTGGTCCTTCTCTGCCTCCCCAGGTACTCCAAGTAGGATGCATGGGAGACCCCTTGAGAAGACCATCTTTCTCAGAATATATCTTGCACGAGTTGAAGGGGCCATAGTCTTATGGTTGCTCCTTGGTTGCTCCTAGAGACAAAGGAATCAGGGTTTCCTACTAATCTGCATTCCATCCTTCTTCCTCATCCCATTTTCTTCGCCTTCTCTCCTGCTCCTTTCTTGCCCCTAATTCTCTGTTTTCATTTTTCTCTTTCCCTTCCTCCTCCCCTTCTCTATCCCCATCTTCATTTCTACTTTCAATCTGGTATCTCTTTTTCTAGCTTCATCTATCCCCCAAGCTTAGGAAAATAATTTTAATTTAACTTCTTTCTCTACTAAAGAACTAAGAAGAATTTTATACAAAACAAATTTGAGCCGTCAACCCCACCTGTCCTCCAAGAACTTGCCGGCCTCAACAGCTGTTAATTCTGTGACCAAGATACTCTGTCCATACTCAAATACTTGCCTGATTGGATTTTCCCATGTTCCTCTGCCCCATGTTTGCCCCATCATGTTCCATATGAGTTCCTCTAACCTCAGTTATGGCAACCATTATGTTTGTTGAGTTCTTGGAAATAAAAATGGTTAACCCAAAAATGTCTTCTCCCCCTTTCATGATTAGAATAAAAGCCTATTTGATCTTTCATTGAATATTCAATTTTAAGTGTTGCTTCTCTTTCTTTTCATTAGATATGTGACAAAGAGTGGCATTACTACGTCATCAATGTGGAGTTTCCTGTAGTTACCTTATACATGGATGGAGCAACATATGAACCCTATCTGGTGACCAACGATTGGCCCATTCATCCATCTCACATAGCCATGCAACTTACAGTCGGCGCTTGTTGGCAAGGTAACTCCACATCAGGCCCTTCTCCCTGGCCTACTGTGTACAGTCCAGGAAAGGTACTGAGAGAGAAAAGGGAAAAGCAAGTGATGTGAGACTTAGCCTAGAAAATTTACTACCCCTTACTAATAAAACAGGACTTTTTAAAATAAGGATTAATTCAGACACTAAATTTGTGTAATAATAAAGCACTTGGCTTGAGACCAGAGTTTGATGTTAGATCAACATGAGCAGTTTCATGGTTGCCTCTGAGTTGCTAGTGCCTTTTATTGTTCTGGAACCTTCTCTGTTTTCTAAATGGGGGTTGTGTAGAGAAAAGGCTGAAAGTAAAATCCTGTACCAAAATTGTCATTTGACTCTCTTGATGCTAATCAGGATCCAAGGATCTCCCTTTATCCCCACACAAGTTGTCCAAGCCCCCCAACCCTCTGCTCTGGGAGCTCATAAATATGTAGGGCTGAGGGGATGGATTGTTTACAGGCATGAGGCTATGGGAGGCCACCATCAAGTTCAGCTCAGCTCTGAGCCCTTTCCCCACTCACTAAGGGCAGAGGCTCCTCATTGCCTTCCCACTAGAAGGTCTCTACTACCTCCTCAGTTCCTGTGCTGCTGCCTCTCCTCCAATCCCCAGATTAGAAGGTGAAACTCCTCTTTGGAAACAAGAAAACCAGCTCTTCGAACATTCATTTAACCTTTCTGTCTTTCACTCAGATCTGTTGGAATCTTTGTTTTTGTTTTCTTAAAAGCCGGGGTGCTTTGAAGTACCAGTGAAAGAATAGAGGGAAAGAAAAATGCTTCCCAAATAAGCATATTTGTACCCTGAGATGACCCAACCTCGTGGTGACAGAGTCTGAAAGTTACTAAGATGTGTGACTTCGACCATTCACCATGGGAAAGAACATCAGAGAACCAGTTGACCAAAGAGTGAGCTAGGGGACATATAGGCCCCTGTGAGTTGAGACAAAGAGTGGGTGCTGGACCGCACCATGCAAAATAGGATCAAAAAATGCACACATAACACAGTCTGGGAGCACTAGGGATATAAAACCCAGGAAGGAATAAAGCACAAATGAGGCAAGGGAAGAGAATATATTTTTAGCTGAAGTCAACCACTTGACATCTGACGTATGTCACACAATACTAAGAAGTCATCAAACATGCCAATCGAACTGGATAAGAGCTTCATGCGTATTACAGAATTTTCCAGGAATTCAGAAAAGGGAGACTGTGTCGTGTGGCAAGAGTCTATGAAACTAATTCGTATAGCAAGCCACTGATTCAGAGATTGCACAGGAATCATCAGTCACTGAACACAGCCACCGTCTCATGCGGCTCAGTGCCCCAGCCGGACACCACAGCCAGCCTCTGGATATTCTGGAACATAGGCTAGATGCTGCTCATGAGTTAAGGGGGTCCTGTGATGTCCTCACTATGAACTTCACCATGACTCTTCCCTTAGAGGCCCTCAGAGACCACATCGAGATCCCTGTCACCGCAGCCTGCAGTGGGAACCCGCCCCCACCTCTACAAGGCCAACTAGAACCACTACTGTGCAGTTGTGTACCCCTTGGGGGGGAAACAGTCCCACCAAAATAAAAAGTAATTTTATAAAGAATTAAGATGACCTCTTTGAATCAGTTACAATAGGCTAAGTTGTGCTACAGTGACAATCAGGCCCCAATTCTCAGGAACATAAAATAATCTTCAGTTGATATTCACTGCAGATCTTTTCTGTTTTTTCCTGACTCTGGGACCCAAGCAGGCAGAGCAGCCACATTGCTTCATACTGAGAAAAAGGAAAAAGAAAGTCTGATGAATGAATGGTGCATGAGCCCCTACAGCTTTCACCTACAAGTGACACCAATCCTTTTTACTCACATTTTATTCACCAAAGCAATTCATATGTCCACACCTAACTCCAAGAAGGCAGGGAAGTAAAAATCTACATTGTGTCTGGAAGAAAAACTGAAAATATTTTATGAACAACACTTGATGAACACCATGGTCTATTCACTTAGGCAACAGATATCTGACTGTCCTTCCCACGGGGGGGGGGGGGGGACGACAATCACAACCATCTTGCCTAAATGAGGCAACCCAAAATTCCACCTGACTCTAAGCTCAACGTCCAGATTCTCTGAGTGATTCCTGGCGACCTCTTCATCAGGCTGAGAGGCATAGGTGGCTCTCTTTCAGGACCAGCTGTGGCCCCACTTGATCTGGAGACCTATACACTAAAAGGAAGAAATACGCTGCCACCACAACTCCTATACACATCCACAGTGCAAAAGTGGAATAAGGAAAATTATTCATCCAGTGGAAAAAAACATTTCCACTAAGCAAGAGGAAGAATTAGAGAAACACCGCAGTCTTTGGTCACTAGCAATTCTGAAATCCCTCTGGGCTGATGCTTTAAGGGCCCCTAACCCTAAAGTGGAAAGTGTTTTTTGTGGCTCCTGACTCCATTTTCCGGGAGTCTTTCCTTCTTGATATTCTCCTAGGCTACATATAAGACAGCATCATTGCTCCATAAATAACAGCACTAATATTATATCTGATAAGGATTTATTTAAAAGCTATTTCACAAAACGCTTTTCAAACCAAAGCATATGTTCCTTTTAAAAGAATGTGGGAGAAAGTGCCTAGGAGGTGTTCACCGCCAAGTGTTTCTGCCCTCTTCCCAGAGGGATGCTGGAAGGTGCGGTCATAGGACTTGCTTTGGCCAATTAAGTGGGAGTGGAAGTGCCTGATGTCATTTTCTGGATGAAACTTCAAGAGACAGTGATGCAAGGAGGCCCTTTATGTACCTGGGTATTTACAATCCTGTGAGAAAGAGCTAGGAGTCCCAACTTGTAGATAAAGAAACCGAGGCTTTCTGAGGTAATGTAGCTGACCCTACATCACCCCGCCAAACCTGCCTGACCCCAGGTCTTCAGAGCCTGTTTTCTTCTCATTGTGGCTTCTTTCCCCATTGCTGGTTGATCATCCTGTTGATGTGATGATGTGTTTGGGAAAATGCTGGAGCTGATGTGTAAACTCTGCAACCCCTTTACCTTCTGACACATCTGTCAACTCTGGAATCAAAAACCCACAGCAACCCTGCATCCCAGTTGCTCATCCCTTGTTATATTTTCTCTCAAGCAACCCTCCAAAGAGCAAGGAAGAAGAGTTTAGGCTTTAGAGTCAGGAAATTTTGAGTGTGAGTCCAATCCCCACCCTGCCACTTGCTGGCTGTATGGTCCCAGCAGAACCTTTAACTTCCCTGAGCAACTATTTTCTCAGCTATAAAACTAGGCTAATACCTCCCTTGTCATTATAAGGCACAGGTGATAGGTACATGGAGCGTGCTCAGCATGCTTCAGTTGAATAAAGGCCTAAATTTGAAAACATCTACCGGTCTCCGCCTCCATCCCTTCTCCATTCCTTGCACCTAGACCCTATGCAGCATACAGTCTGAAGGACCTTTGGTATGCCCTGACTTTGCCATTCCAGCCTCCCCGTGGCTCCTTGTGGGCGCCAACTCTCCCCTCCTACCCTAGGAGGAGCCATCCCACTAAGACCCTGATCTCTCAGGTCCATCTACGTGTCAGAAGGAAGGTCAGTAAAGCAAGAGAAGAGCCAATGAGAAGACAAGTGTTGGAACACAGCCCTTGTGGTGTGGGCAAGAACCTGATCACGTGGTCTGTCAGGCCTTGTAGATGTAGGCATCTGCCCCGAGAGGAAAGATAATATATTGGTAAATTTTCAGCATAGGAGAAAATTCTTCAAAATCTTCAAACTTGGGCCTTCTCGGAGGGCTAAGAGTTCACCAGGAAGACAGAGAAGGCAACAACAGCATATGCCGTTGCAGGGAAGTTTCACACAGGTGTGCTCAGAGCACCCAGTTGCTTGGAGGTTCGGGGGCCAAGACGAGTGCAGGAGAGCCTGGGAAGAGGAGTTGCGACCAGACCACAGGACACCCGACCACCTCGTGCAGGAGCTTGGATTCGCATCAATACCTGCATCCTCCTTGGAGTCATGCTTTGCCTTGGAAGAAGACATCAAAAGACCTTTCAAAAGGACACAATGCTGTGAAACCAAGAGCCCATGATGCACCCCCTTATTTGGCATATTTCTAACTTTCTGAAGTCCACTTACGTGCATATTATAAGCCTGCTGGGTGAGCCTATAATTGCCTCTGGGCTGGCGATTGTGGGGAGCTTTTTAGGTGCTTCTGAGGTTGGCAAGGAAACCAGCTCCCATTTGTGAATTTTCCAATTGGGGTTTAACAATGGGGATAGAAAATAATTTGATAGCAGCTGCTTGTTGGATGCTCCCGGGAACAGGCTCCAGCACTGTTGCTGGGCAGTGCTCCACAGCCCCAATTAGCCTACTGTGTCCTGTTAGTGAATTTGAAAGCCAAAGTAATCAGTGGAACTTCATTTTCATTGGTATTTTTTCCAGTAATTAAGAAAAAAAAGAGACTTCATTTACACTTAAGAAATGTTGCCAGCACAGCCCTGAGCATGTGTCTTAATTGTAGAGAAAGGCTTTGCAGTGAGGATGGACCTGGCATCACAAAAGAGTCCTCTTCCCCTCCTTGCCTCCACCTCTGTGTCACAGTGTTCTCAGGATGCACTCAGACCCCCTCCAGGCCCAGCTCCGTCTGTGCCAAGGCAGAAATTGCTACCTTTAGACCAATTCCAGGTGCCTTGTCTCTCTTGGGGTCACACCATGGGAGAAGATCGTTTAAAAGACTAATTAATTTGCCCTTTTCCTTAGATTTCCTACTCATCCATTTCTAACAACAAAAATTCAAGTTCTACTGATCTATAATAAAAGTTGTATTCTCACACCTGCTTCACCCCTGGACCTTTAAACTGGGCCCACCCTCGCAGGGACTGGAACCCAGGCGTCCCTGGGAGCAAGTCAGGAAGGCTGCTGATGGTGTCAGACCAGGGCCTGAGGTTTCAGGGAGATGCCCCAGCAGGTGGAAGTCTGGGCCGCCTCCACCCAACACCACAAAC